CATAGACATTTTGGAAAACAATGTGGACAAACAAATGTATTAAACCTTGTTCATGGAAGAGAAATAAAACCAGTAAAGAATAGAGGCAACTTATTCTTTGCCTCAAATTTCACGTTGCCTGTTTGTTCGTGATGGAAGAACAAACCTTTCATTCTTGTTTGATACCGACTCTGAGGTGTCCTTACTTCCGGCAAACAATTCACAAAAATGAAACTCTCCCCAACAAACACTTCTCACTGCTAATTCTTTAAATATCCATGTTTATGATAAAAAAACACTTTCTTTGGATTTCAAATTAAGATGATAGTTTACTTGGACTTTTCAAATAGCAAATGTTAGTACACCCATTCTTGGAAAACAAATGTCTCAAAGATTTAAAAATGAAGTTTCAGACTGTAGGCTACGCGAAAATGCAGATATTTATTCAGTAAAACTGTTTTCAGTGATACATCTTATCACAAAATTTTAAAAGAATTTTGTTCCATTACTAAATTACCAGATCCTAACCAACCTGTTAAACACAACACTGTTCAAATTATCATAAAGGTCCATCTGTGGTTGTGAAATCTCATCGATTAGCCCCAGATCACTTAAAAATAGCAAAGCAAGAATTTCCAATTATGATGCAACTAGGGCATTTAAGACCGTCAAGAAGCAGTTATGCATGCCCACTTCATATGGTTCCTAAAAAGGGAACTTTAGAATAGAGACCTGTAGGAGATTATTGTGCATTGAATGCACAAACGATAAAAGATAAATACCCTATTCCATGCTTAGCTGATTTTACTGTCTCATTGCACAGAACTAAAATTTTGAGTTATGTTGACTTGATCAAGGCATATTATCAGATACCAATCAGCCCCGCCGACATTCACAAAACCTCCATATGCACACTATTCGGTTTATGTAATGCATCCGCGACTTTTCAACATTTTATAGACAAAGTCACGCGAGATTTAGAAGGTGTTTATGCTTTTGTCGACGACTTGCTCATAACCTCTAAAGATGCTGAGGAATAATGCAGGCATTTGAAAGCTTTATTTTAAAAACTTCAGAAACATGGATTTTGCATAAATGTTTCAAAATGCACCTTTGATCAAACATGTATTGATTTCTTAGCCTTTTCACCTTAGTGAAAGCAGAATTGAACCTCTTCCTGACTAAAGTCAATTGTATTTTAGATTTCCCTCAACCTACCATTCTCAATCAGCTTCACCGATTTTAAGGCATGTTTAATTTTTACAGATGTTTCATACCTAAAGCAGCAAATATTCTTTCTCCTTTAATAAAATTGTTAAAAGACATATCAATAAAAAGAAACCTTGTGTTAAGAAATCATCCTCACCGTTAAATTGGAATGAAAATGCTGAACAAGTCTTTATTGCTGCCAAAAATGCCATTGCTCAGGCTACCCTTTTGAGATATCCTATTCCCGGTACCCAGTTAGGCATCTGGGTAGATGCTTTAGACATCACAATAGGCGGCACTCTTATGCAGTTGTCTGAAAAACATGGGAACCTATAGCATTTTTCTCTATGAAACTGAACAAAAGTCAGAAAAATGAAATATTCCGCGGTACATTAGGGAATTATTTTCAATTTATTCTGCAATTAAGAAATTCTGACACATGTTAGAGGGCAGAAATTTTCAAATTTATATGGATCAAAAACCGTTAATATGCGTTTTTTAAGCAGTATCCTCACAAATGTTCACCTCAGCAATTATACCATTTAGATTTCATTTCTCAGCATTCTTGATATTAGGCATGTGCAAGGTTCTAAAAACATTGTTGCTGACGCCCTTCCGAGAATAAAATTTGATTCCAAAATAAAATCTCTATTTGGACTTTAAAAAATTTTCCAAAGCTCAACAGCATGAGCCGGAGATACAAAAACCTTAAAAAATTTTCCGAAGCTCAACAGCATGAGAAGAGGCACAAAAACCTACTAAAATTCCAGCTACTAAAATTCCAGCTTCAAAGATGATGCATTATTATGCATCATCTTTGAAGCTGGAATTCAAGCCATGCCAATACTCCGATGGTAATATTCTTTGTGACACTGTGTGATACTGATGCTTCTTGTCCATTCGTGCCAAACTCCTTCTGAAGACTCATCTTTAAACATTTGCATAATCTATCACATCCAGGAATTGCAGCTACTACAAAACTAATTTACGTCATATCGAAAATTGGGTGAAATCCTGTGATTCTTGCCAGTGATTGAAAATCACCTAACACACTAAAGCACCATTGGGTACAATCTCTTCCTGATGCATGTTTTTCACAAATCCATACGGATATTGTTGGCACGCTACCACCATCAGAAGGTAACATGTACCTTTTGACTCTAATAGACAGATTTTCCAGATGGCCTGAAGCCACACATATATGCAATATGAAAATGGAAACTATTTGCAGAGCTATTTTCAACTCAGGAATATCTCGCTTTGGCTGCCCATCAGTGATAACAACAGACCAAGGTTCCCAAATGATATCTTCAATGTTTGCACAGTTTACTCGTATTTTGGGAACAAACAGAATCACGACAACAGACTATCATCCAATGTCAAATAGAACTGCTGAATGATTCCACTGCCACTTAAAATCCCCTCTCAAGGATCATGAGACCAATAGCTGGACTGAAACATTTCCAATTGTTCTGCTTGGTATCTGGACAGCCATTAAGGAGGATATTTGGAGGAAAATTGCCATTAAGGAGGAAAATTGGCCTATTTGCTTTCAGACTAATTTACCTGAACTGAAACAAGACAGAGACTTAAAGACAAGTCAAGAAAATAAATCTAATCTAACAAACTCTAAGACACAAACTGAGACAAGATCAGGAAGGCATGTGCACTTTCCAAAGAAACTTGCTTCTTATATTACAATTTGAAAAAAATGTTTGAAATTTGCTTTTTACATTTTTATTAATATTTTACTTTTATGTGTGTGCATTATTACTTTGTCATAATGCTGAATCACATTTTGATTTTTATAATTTTATATCCTAATTGTGTTAAAAAAGTACTCGACAGCAGGGATCCTCTTAAATATTTCATCATCCGATGTTGTTCCTTTGAACTGCCATCAAAGGAACTGCGGGGGGGGGGGGGGACTCTTCTGTGATAGTGATAATGAGCGCGCCTTGCGCCTCCACATGTCTGCCGATAAATATGGAAACTTTAGGTAGAAGCACAGAGTGAGAAGAGAGATCGGCTGTTCGACGAGTTGCATGCATGTTTGAAGTCTCAATATAAATTTTTACTGTATAATATGTCTGCTGAAAGTTGAATACAGTGAGAACATTTAATGGAATATGGGCAACTAGAATCCCATGGGATCTACAATGTCATCGATTACCACAGACCCATGAATGGCACGCCCTCGCTGCGACCTTGTCTGACCAATTAAATCATCACTTTGTCATGATCATCACTTTAGCATAATAAATAATTTTTCTGTTATTCATTGTGAGTGAAGTGTCAGAATCCACAAAAAATTCAGAAAGTTCCTTTTCATGTTTCTTATGGCACATACAGTTGACTTTTCAATGCCATACTCCTCGCATAATTTTGAGAGGGATATACCTCCCATTTTTTTTGCAGCAATTCCGCTCTTTGTTTAATAGACATCCAAAAATGCTTTCACTTTGTAGATCCTGTTGCAGTTTCAGAATTGGAAACTCTTTTCGACATAATTGAAAGTTCAAACTTTAATTTTCATAAAATTGCTGTAATAATGTAGCCTTAAAAAATATGGTGGCTCAAATCAGAAAGTTAAGGAACAGCACAATCTGTTACATTAACTTAAATTCCTTGGAATCAGTAAAGTATAATTTTAGCTTAGTTTAATAGCATCTGCTATACATTACAGGCTATATGTATCATGAGAGCGACGACGAAAGACAAGTTGTTTTGCTAAATTTTGTCTTGCTTCTATTGCACACTGAGACAATTAAGCTTGATCTGTATTAGTTATTTATTATACTTGCATCTATTTCTTGCACATGCTTAAGCCTTATCTGAGTCCTGACTAAATAAGTTCTCATATATACTTAAAGCTTGTCGAGGGCCAGCACTAGATATCTTACCACCTGATGCAGTCTCTGGGGGTCCTAAATTCTGCTACCAAGCACCTCCCTAAGTTCTAAATTTTGGGTTCCAGTGCTTTCCCTAAATTCTAAAAATTTTGTCATCCCTTAATTTTGTTGCTTGGTGATTCTCTAGATTCCAAAAATTTTGTCTTTCCTATAAATTTTTCCTCGTCAATATTTCTTAGCACATTTAACTTAAATCTGTAATCATCGTCAAGCGTAATGTCAACATAAAACAATCCCATATTCTTTGTATTTCAATTACTAATGTGAAAAAAATTGTTTAGGTGTTGCTGCATGAGTCATTACTCAAGTTGTCACGTGTTGAGAAACATGCGATGATGAAAGAAAAATACAATACATAATGATTCGCCTGGTTGGTGTCAGGGATAAAAAGTTAATAGGTGCAAAATCATTGATGTTTCTATGTAGAATGTTTTGGTTTGAGATGTATGCTTACTGAGCCAAATTACTGATCACACAAATCACAAATTTATGCTAAAATGATTTTTTACTCAATAATGAGGTATATTATTTAGTGCCAAACTGAAATTAATCGTGACTCTCCAAGTTTTATTATGGGGAATGAAATGCACATGCGTAAAGCAAACAAACAAACAAAAAAAAAAAAAAAAAAAAGGTTGTTGGTGGCTTTGAGGTCTGGATTTTAGATTATTCTGGATACTGGACCTTCGCATCTTGTATTTTGTACTGTATTAGATATGCATTAAACTTATGAAAAGGTATTGCAAATTTTTCAATTAATAAGCAGACATTTGAATATTAAAATTACACTTATTAAAATGATTATCAAAATGTTTACTCCTGTTCAAAATATAAAATTCCTAAGGTATTATGTCAATCTTTTTTATACAAAGCATTACAGATAAAAAAAAAGTAACTTACGTATTTAATATATTTTTCAATCACAGCATCAAGAGGCAATTTTCCTTCTTTTCGAAAAATAGAACAGTTCCATTCTGCTTGTCGGGCAATCATTACGGAAGAAGCACTGGTTTCTAATCGGAAAGTTTCAATATCTTGATAGCTTCCAATCTCACCAGATCCTCCGCTTTAGTTTCCAAAGATTTGAATGCATTAAAATATTAAAACTCACTTAAAAAACAATGGCATAAGAAACAAAAATTTTAATACTTGAAAAAAGACATAATTAAAAGGAATCATATCAATATTTTTCAAGTTAAAAAAATATATGCCAACATAATGATTGCTACTGGAATTTGAATTTATTAACACAAAAACCTATTTTCTGTGAATGAATAAGTCTTGATAGCTGGATATTTGCATATTTTTTAGTGCAATAAAATTATATTTAGCACAGAAAAAAATTGCTGAGAGAAGGGTAAATTAACTGAATTTTATGACAGTGCAAATTAGAAACAATGACAACAGCCTAAATTTGTTTAATGGGTTTTCCTAATTATAAAATAATAAAATAAAAAAAATCCTTTTCATTTCCTGCTTTATATATGATTTCTGGACACTGTCTTCAGTTAAAGCATTAAACGCACATTATTATGTAACTACTTTAATATTATAGATGCAGTTTGAAAATTAATTCTATGATTTTATTAAAATATAAAATGCTTAACAACACACTGCATGAGTTAGCAAAAAGGAATGTTAATTCCTTGATATTGCTAAAAACTAAATTATTCTGTACAGAAAATATAATACCATGAAAATATGGCTGAAGCCCTGCACAAGTTTCAGGCTATATTTAGACCAAAAAGTTATACATATTGTTGTAATTTATAAGCATAAACAAACACACACACAAACAAACAAAAATTACGTTTTTTAAAAATTTAATGGTCAGGGATTTATTAGTTAAATATCAATCAGAAATGTTTGAACCCATAGATCATGACGAAGAATATAATTGGAAGGCAATTCATGGGCCATGGAATCTGCACCCTGTAGCAAAATAAAATGCATCTAGCAAAAGTAACAAATGATGCATTTTGCAATACATGATACTATTCACAAAGCTAGCTGAAAAACAGCCACACAACATGCTATCTTTATAGACAGTGGCTGGTAAAATGTAGAGTCATTATAACTGAGCTAAGCTTTTATACATATGAAGATTATCTCACTTATTCTTAAAAAAAAAGTTAGACAAATTATTTTGGCATAAAACCAAGCAGACTGATTTATGATAAAGCATAAACATTTATTTCACAACAATTTAAAACAAGATGCATTTTATTTTTATGATCCTACATTTTGAACATAGAATGATCCTGCATAAAGAGAACACATAAAGTACTCACTTAGCAATAACAGGAATTGATAATGTTTCTGCTATAGCTTTTATGACATAATTTCTATTTTTATGTTGTGGTCTTTCTTCCTTTACTCTTCCATGTACTGCGATCGCAGCAACACCAGTGTTTTCAATAACTTTGACTAAGTCTAAGGTTTTGTGTAACTGAAAGGAAAAAAAGTTTGCTTTTCAGAACAATTTACACACAGTAAATTTACTTTCAAAACTTCAAGAAAATCTGAAATATACAGTTCTTTGATCCCTTATTACAGTGTAAAGTTCTATTTAAATGTGTCTATGGCAATTAGAACTAGAGAAGAGTATAGCAACTATTCAACT